GCCACGTGGCACGCAACTCAGAAATTATTGATTTTTGTACATGTTCAAAATTTCATTGTTTGCAAAGTTAAGGCCCTGAAGAAGAGTTGCTGAAAAGCATGTTTTGCCTGACAAATTGACTTTTCAAGTTATTAATGAGAATATTTACCGAACTTAGATTTGCTTAATTCAGTTGACCCAATTGTGAAAAATTCGCGGCCTCGATGGGAGTCGAACCCACATAGCAGGGAAGGCTTTTGCGCAGTCAACGCTCTACCATTGAGCTACGAGGCTCACTGTGCGCCGTGAATTTAATCACACGTATGTACGGCGTCTTTCTGAACCCATCAACTACCGGAAAATAAGAGATAAGCAAAGAAGGGTATTCTTCTAAGCACATGACTCCAAGCACACCAAGTCGGTTCCGTACATTTTTTCCTTGGCATCCGTCCTATATTTGCGGGTTTCATCACTGGCATCAAAGAAAAACCTATGAACACGCGATTTGGTTGGCAAGTCGTATGACCACGAGCGCCGTCATCGCAAATATCCGCTGACTTAGAGATCGGCTTTACTTGCTAAATCTGCGAAAGTTAGGCAAAATGTTTGGTTGACATCTCTTCTGTGGCTTCAGTTTACCTGGGCATTCAAGAGTTCAATGGAGAGGGAAGTTTCTGTTCCCCGGTTTAGCCAATTTTCTCGCAATCATTTAGGTGGACACCCAGACACTCTGAAACCTCCCCTGACATTTATTTTTACCGCTTTATTTTCCGAATTTCGTTGCTCAATCAGGAAGTTTACTCCTATTCTGGCTAAACTATGCTTATACAAATACGCGGGTTGGTTGACGTTGATTTCTAAAGCATTATTTTCTTCTTTCATCGTTGGGGGGGATTTTAGCAGATTTGCTTAATTTAATTGATCCAATTGTGAAAAATTCGCGGCCTCGATGGGAGTCGAACCCACATAGCAGGGAAGGCTTTTGCACAGCCAACACTCTACCATTGAGCTACGAGGCTCATTGTGCGCCGTGAATTTAATCACGGCCACACTGCTGTGTGGGTTCGACTCCCTCCGAGGCCGCGAGTTTTTCACAATTGGGTCAACTGTGTTATAACGGAGGCCCAGGCCGAGATATTGCGTCGCCAAATTGTTGTAACGGAGCCCAGGCCAAAATATTCGCC